TTACCAGTATTACCAGGTTACCAGCCTTACCGGGTTACCAGCCTTACCAGTTAACCAGCAGCGCTCCCGTTTGGGTTTTTGAGGGGGGGGCGGGGAGGGGTTGATGGGAGGTTGGGGCAAAAAGGAGGTTTTTGGGGGGCTGTGTCCCTGATATCAGGGCTTTTCTTCCAGCCTGGGGTTGTGCTGGCACTGGGGATACTGGTGAGGGACACAGGGGATGTTGGTGTGTTAATGGGTGAGTTTCAGAGCTGTGAACTGGACCAGTAGCGTTTATACTGGGGCACCAGTGCCCCCCCAGTCCCGCTGCTCCCCGGAGAGGGGCCAAATCCAGGAAACCCTTGGGAATATTTATAATATTCCACATTTTTGGGGTCTCGGGTCCTTCCCACCTGCGGGACCTGGGAACCCCAAGGGCTGCTGAGCCCCGGGGGCAGCCCCAAAACCAGTGGGTGAACTGGGGACGGGCTCATCCCCCCAGTCCCGAGCCTGGGATACCGCTCCGACTAAAATCCCGATGGATTCAGGAAAAAAAAAACACAACAAAATCCCAACACTGGGGAGGTTTTTGGGCACCTCCCGGCCGTGCCAGCTCCGGGAGGTGTCACCTCCTGGCACCGCTCTCCCCGAAGCCACCCAAAGGTTCCCCGGTGCCACCCTCAGCCTTTTAAACAAACACCTTCCCTCCAGGGCCAAATTTCCAGCCCTGGGGAATATCCCGTGGAGGTGCCAGGGCTGGGAGGGGGGGCACGGGGGGGGGGACACACACTCTGGGAATGTTTCCAGAGGGTGTGGATTTATTTTTCTTGTTTATTTTTTGTCCTGTGGAGCCGGCCCGTGGTGTGACACCCCCCCCTGGTGTGACACCCCCCTTGGTGTGACCATCCCCTTGGTGTGACCACCCCCTTGGTGTGGGCACCCCCCCCCGTGTGACACCCCCCTTGGTGTGACAGTGGGGACACCTCCAGCAAAAGCTGCAGGAGCTTTTGGGAGCTTTTGGGACCTTGGGGGAGCTTTTGGGACCTTGGGGGAGCTTTTGGGACTTTGGGGGAGCTTTTGGGACATTGTGGGAGTTTTTGGGACTTTGCAGGAGCTTTTAGGCCCTTGTGGGAGTTTTGGGACCTCACGGGTCCCTCCTGGCAGACGTTGGGGGGGGGGAATTAAAGGCTCCCCAGGTGGGGGAAGGGTTAATTAATTCCCCCTTCGCCTCGTTTCCCGGTGGTGGTGCTTTTTTTTTGGTTTTTTTTTCCC